TGAAGATAACTTAGTAGAAGTTGAAGTGAAGACCGAACAGTAAAGGCGTTCGGTTATTTTAGTTAATGTAGTTAGGATAGCGAGCGGCTGTGAGCGAGAGCTCTTTTGTTGGTTGTAAATATTTGGGCGTTCGGTCATTTTTGTAAACCGTTCGTCCTCATACTTTTTGTAAACGCTCGTTAATTAATACATGAAAGGTCGTTCGGCCATTTATGAATTTCTGTTTCCTTTAATATTAAAACTGTTTTGCCTTATTGATTAATGTGATTATTCTAAGTATATAGTTGCTGACTGTATAATTTTGGGATGTTACATTTAGTCTCTTTTTTTTTAATATGATCCTATTTTTTTTCAATAAAGTATTAATTTTTATCAATTAAATTTTTTTTTGGTAACATTGATTGGATAGTTAAAGTGTATATGAATAATATATGTTATGAGTCATTTCATGAATTTTTTTCTATTTTCTTTATTTTTTAATATTTAAAATTTTTAAAAATATATCAACGTAATGGTGCAAATGTCATGTCTCATACCTTATTTTCTGAATTTGTTATTTTTGTTTAATTTAATTTTTTTTTAAAATTATTTTTATTTCTTTTTAAATTGAGATTAAATTAAATATAAATATTATATTAATATTTTTATTAAAATTTACATTTTTTATTAATTAGTATTTATAAGTTACTTTTAAGTCAACCGGATGATTTCAAATATGATAAAACTAAACAGAAATAATAGAAATTTTAAGATGACAAAAATAATGAGGTGATAACAAAATTAAGTTTAAAATAAAAAAGTCTGCACTTAAGTTGGGTGGCCATTTAAAAATAAAATATACATTTAATATTGTAACATGGTCTTTAATATATCTCAAATTATTTTTAAATCAGTTATTATGGTTGATTTAACGATAATTCAAAAAATATTAGCTAATAAAAATATAATTTAAATAAGAATAACAATATAATATTTATATAACATTTAAATTTAATTTTTAAAAAAAGATAATATTGGTTCATTTAAAAAAATTAAGATTAAAATTGAATAAAAATAAACACTCAATTAAGACATCACACAAAATACTTGCGTTAACATGTGATAGTACTAATGTCAAATAACACCACATTGATTTAACACAAACCTTTTTTTGTAAATTAAAAAATTTAAAAATAACCAAAAAAATTAATACATAACTTACCTTATTAACATTGGTTAACTATTTAATCAATATTATAAAAAATACCTCGATGAAATAAAATTAACAAAAAATTTATAATTTGATAAAAAAAATATCACATTAAAAAAAAATTCAACGAAAACATAGGTCACAATGATATTTAAACTTTAGTTTTAATATCTCAATAGGTCCTTATTTTCATCCAGAATTTGAAATAGGTCCTTATTCTTTTTGGTGTCTTAATTAGGTCTTTATTTTTGTTAATTTGATGCAAATAAATCATTTCCGTCAATTTCATAAAACGGCGTTAATGAGTGTGTGACGTGGCCTGTGTGAATGCGATTTTTTAAAATTTAGAATTAAAGAATTAAGTAAATATATTATAATTTTTTGCTGAAATTAATTAAAGAAAGGGCAAAGATGGAAAATGGTATTGTTGTTTTTGCTAAAACATGCATTATCTCTGCAAGTGGGAAATCAAAATCAAATTGGGGGAATTTTCTATTTTAGGCTCGTGTTGTCTCACAAGGTAAAGACGTTGTTCGAGTGGATGCACAATGGAGAATTAAATGCAGAATTCACATTCAACTTGTTCTTCGACTTGCAATGGCTAGCGGAATGGAGACCCCGATGTCGTTTTTCGTGGTGTGTCACCCCTTTGTCTGTGTGGAGAGAAAACAGTGGTCAGAACAGCTCGAACGGCTAAGAACAGCTCGAACGGCTAAGAACAGAGGGAAACAATTTTGGGGGTGCCCTAAGTACAAGGTAACCGAACATGGATGAGTTGTTGTTTATTTTACTTCAAAGTCGTATTCATTGGGTTTTAATTTTTTTTTTCAGAACGAGCATGAAAACGGTGGTTGCAATTTCTTCAAATAGTGTTGTGATGATGATAATGAAAGATGTTATACGAATCTGAAGTTGGAAGGAAAGCATGAGTGTTTGTCAAAGACAGAAGAAATGGGTGGTGTAGCGAATATGGTGATTGATTTGAAAAATTCTGTTAAGGTTGTGGAAAAATGGATGAAGTTGTTGATAGGGGCGGTTTGTTGTATTTGTGTGGTTAATCTTATTGTAATTTCAATATGGATGACAAATCCATAATGTATCGTGCATTTTCGTTGTGATAGGATTCGTTGTGATAGGATGTCGTAGGTGATGTTAAACTTAGTTTGTGATGAAAATGGGAATAACAATGTATTTGACTATCTTCAATTAATGAAATGATGTTGTATTTTCCTTTTTCTTCTTATTATAATTTTACACTTCATCTATGTTGTTCTTGCAAACTGTTAGTTGGACTGCTGATTATGTTAGTCCGTTGGATGCTTGTTGTAGTTATGACACTAAGGTAGGTGATGATACTTTCGGGCTCTTGTTGGAAGCTCAAAGACAGGGGGAAATTAATTGTTGCACTAAGGAAACCTTAGTGATTCAAAATGAAGAAAATCATCTTTTGCAAACTGATTCAGAAGGGGTTGTATCTTGTATGAAGAGAGAGTGTCTTCAAAAGTTGTTTACAATTACATGAGTTTACTTAGTAGGCTGGAAACAATGCAAATATTTAAATTACTGATGGCAATAAAGATGAAAACATTCAGGTTTATACACAAGATGTAGATTCTTAACTGGAGGTTAGAAAAAAAATGACAACAACATTTTCTCCTAAAACCTTGGAACGATGCCTTCTGTCTATAATTTTTTTTTGAGTACAATACTCTATAATCTCAACCAGTCAACTTTGGTCATATGCATTGTGGAGTGTATAATTAATGACTCAAAACCCCACTGATTGAATTGGGCAATACGTTGGAGCATTAATTTTTTGAGCAGAAAATTTCAAAAAGGTTCTTCAGAGTATGAGAGGACATGAAAATTTCCAGATAAGATCATTAAACCTTTTGAGTGTTTGTAGCATCTTAAATATCATTAAATCTTGTTTTCTTGTTTTTAGCAAAAAGGAAAGAACTTTGTCCCCAGTCTCTTTATCCTTTTCTTTAACTTGTAGTTGTAGCATCTTAAATATGATAATGTGAATTTGGACTTTGGCTTTTCTGCAGAACCACACCTAGTGTACAACATCTAAGAAGATTACTTTATTCAAACCTTTTGTTCGAAGACTATTCCAGAGTAGAGATAAATGCATGACATGACACTTTTTTACATTAACTCCTGCTGCCAAATGAAAATTCTAGTTACACAATTATTCTATCAGTCTCTAAGCAAACTTATAAAACTCTAATTCAAAATTTAGCACAGGAATCCAATGCAAATATTTAAATTACTGATGAGAATAAAGATGAAAACATTGAGGTTGATACACAAGATGTAGATTCTTCACTAGAGGTTAGAAAAAAAATGACAGTAGACTTAAAACAGTTTCTATGCAGCAGCCAATTTGCACCAAAAAATGAACCTAGAATGGGGTTTCGAGATGTGGAAATGCACAAGAGTTGCTATAAGGTCAATTAATCAATTCCAACAACTTTATATGATGAAAATAGAGTTGTCTAAGCTTTTAATTGGTACAGAAATAGCATAATTCAGAATATGACCTCTTAACAGCCCATTATGCAGACAAATAGGCAACCTCACACCCAAAACTGAGTTTCACTAAATCAAAATGCTAAACAACAATGCAAACAACTCATAAATATATAATAATACTGAACCAAGCTGGAAAACATCAGTTAGGTGAACTTAAAATTGAAATGGACACCCAAAACAAGATTTAGTACATCCAAAACAGTACTTTAAAACAATACATTTAGTGTAGTATTGCATAAGTGTAGTATTACATTAAAACATTAAAAGAGTACATTAAAATAGTACATCCAAAAGCTTCTACGGTTCAGCTACTTGGTCATTACAGACTTCAGATAATTATGATGATGGCATCAGAGGTTGTGATGAAGGAGTAGGTTGTTGGGTAGCTTTGGGGCAACGACTCCAGTTATGCCCAAGCTCCCTACATAGTCCGCATCTCTTGCGTAAACCAGCCTTGGTCATTCGAAAATCATCTTTTTTTTTATCTCCCACTGTTCCATTCTTCTATTTCTTTTAGGTCTTCCAAGCACAACTTTTTTGTAAGGAGGCATAACATCCGAATATGGTTGTAGGTCCCACATGTTGTTGTTGTTGACGAGGAATACGATTGATGCATATGTTTCTTCATAGGTGGACTTCATAAAGCAAGTTGGAATGAATTGTTGTCCATCAATATTCAGAAACTTCATTGCGGCTAAGGAGTGGCAACATGGGATTCATGTGATGCTCCATCTCCTGCAGGAGCATGACAAGTCGTCTATGTTTACAACAAATTTGTCTCCAATGTGGGAGACATGTCTCACTTCAAACAATTTATTTCCTGACCAGCTGTGAACAAATTTTAAGAAAAATGAACAAAGTTTAGATACAACTGAAGAAAGTAGATTACAATTCAGAAGTAGAGAAGAAAGTTTACCTAGGAATCCAGTTCTTGGTTGATTGGGATTCCTTTTCAAATCTGTTCTGGATTTTTGGACTAATTGATCTTGTAAATGAATGTATCTTAGTCCTGTTTTTTGCCCATCTTTGCATGATGTACACCCTGATTTCTTCCAGCATTGTTGCTATTGGTTTAGTCCGGGTATGAACCAATACATTGTTGAATGCCTCACTCATATTGTTCACCAATGTGTCACATTTTGGTCTTGGACTGAATCTGGACCTTGACCAGTATCTACACCATAAAATATAGACAACTACAGTGCCTATATATGCAGTAGTGAGTTATAGTTCTAATAAAAAAGTACAAAAATAAACCTTGGAAGGATGGCTATCAAATGCTTGAATGCTCTTTATTGACATCTTTAATATTTCTCATTTCCCTCTCCCAATTTTGTGGATGAGTGGTAGTAGCTGCCCTCCACATCAGTTTCTTCAGATTTTTATCAGGAAATTTCTTCCTAAAGTTTGAATATAAGTGTCTGACATAGAACCTCTGATCAACACCGGGGAGTAGCTCTTGTATTGCTGGTAGTAGACCCTGTGGGCAACATTAAATATGATTAAATATAAGTAATGTATTAATGTAAGAAAGAACCAAATTAAATATGATTGTTACCTTCTGTTGGTCTGACACAAAAGTTATTTATGAACATACTTCTTGACCACCAAGATCATCAATCAAAAGATTCAAAAACCAGGACCATGAATCTTTGTTTTCCCCTTCTACCACCGCATATATAATGGGCAACATTTGATCATGTCCATCTCTCCCAACAGCTGTTAACAACTCACCACCATACTTCCCTTTCAAAAAGGCCCCATCTAGTCCAATTATTGGCCTACGACACACAAAACTATCTTTGCATGCCTTCAGACAACAGTAAAATCTCTTGAAAATTACCTCATCCTCATTAGTCTCAACAACCACTTTAACTGTAGATCCAGGATTTCTTCCCAACAACTCATGTGCATAATCATATATCTTCTTATATTGTTCTTTAAAGGACCCATCAATGTGCTCAGAAGCAATAGCTTTGTCTCTATAAGCCATACCCCTAGATATACCAATGTTCCACTTCCTTTGAACTTTTTCACGAATATCTACACCCTTCATTTTAGGATTTTCCCTTATTGTTTTCTCCAACTTTGAGCTCATCCACTTGGCGTCAAGTAACTTGAGATTGGACTCCCTGCTACATGTGTGAATGTCATTTTTAGTTCTCAGCTGCCATGATTTTTCAGCCTCCATATAAGCACAATATATGGTCCATGGGCATTCTCCTTTTGCACCAAAGCACTTCATCCTCAATCTTCTATTGTCATTTTTGACAAACTTTATATTCCTACCATTTTCCAACGCATACCCTTTTACAGCATCACAACACATACTATCTTTCTGTACTCTCTCTAGAATGTTTCTTTAAAATTTTAAAAATATTCCTAAAAGCAAACAACGGTAATCAAACAATCTTTTAAATATACTTAGGAATAACATCTATAATATTTTTAAATATGACTTGGAAATGTAATGCAATTCTTATTAAATTCTACTTTAATAACCAAAAAATCATACCACTTAATATTAAATTATATTTAAAAAATTTTATATTTTAAAAAAAATTCAATTTACCAAATTATAATTTTTTTACATTTTTAAAATTAATTTTACTAATTAATTTTAATTTTTTTCTCTTTATAAACATTTTTACAGTTAAATATCACATTAATAAATAACATTTTATATTACTTTAATAACTAGGGGCGTTTTGGTAATCTTTAATTTCTACCAATTAAACTAATTTTTAAAATCTATCACATCAATCAAATTTTA